TTATACTACTCAAGAACAATCCTACACCACACAAATTCAACAAATATCTAACTCTCACCTAACTAAATTGATGTAAGCAATGACATCATTAATTAAATGATGTAAGCAATGACATCTTTAATTAAATGATGTAAGTAATGACATCAATTTAGTTTGGGTTTGGGTTTAGGCTCCCATAATGGATCAAGTTTATGATCCAACAGGAACTTGGGCAGTAGTTGATGTTTCCTTGGATAATTTACGCTCTAATCCTGTGACCAAGTATAGAAGAAGACCATCAGGTTGTTTGATCCAAGAATCGCCAAATGGATACTCCAAGGTAAGTTACTCTTTATTTCAACTCATATGTATGTATGTATATGTATATCATGGCTTATTTTCGTGATACTTCAGGTTATATGGGTTGAGCATGTAGAAGTGGATGATAGAGCTGTCCACAACATATACAGGCCAGTAGTTAATTCCGGTCTAGCTTTTGGAGCAAAACGTTGGGTGGCGACATTAGATCGACAGTGCGAACGTCTTGCAAGTTCAATGGCGAGTAACATTCCAGCAGGGGATCTATGCGGTAAAACAACATTTACCGTCTTGTTTTCTTACAGATACCTTGTTGAACGCAGTGCACTTCATGTGTCTCTGATGTTACCATTCCGGTTACTTATTGATCTCTGCAGTTATAACAAGTTCAGAAGGGAGGAAGAGTATGTTGAAGTTGGCAGAGAGGATGGTGACCAGCTTTTGTACCGGCGTCGGTGCTTCTACGGCCCATGCTTGGACGACTCTAGCCGCAACAGGTTCCGATGATGTACGAGTAATGACCCGAAAGAGTATGGATGATCCAGGCAGGCCTCTTGGTATTGTTCTTAGTGCTGCAACTTCCTTCTGGATCCCAGTTCCATCGAAAAGGGTATTCGATTTCCTAAGGGATGAGAACTCTCGAAGTGAGGTACATTAAGCTTCCAATGTAGAGTTAAATCACTAATTTGCAGAATATTATACTAATTTGCAGCTTTAACCTGAATTTCTAGTGGGATATCCTATCAAATGGTGGCCTAGTTCAAGAAATGGCTCACATAGCCAATGGTCGTGATCCGGGCAATTGTGTCTCTTTACTGCGAGTAAATGTAAGTTGGCAATGGCAAGTCATCCATTAAGCTAACATTTTCCATGACAGTCATCCCATTAAGCTAACATTTTCCAATTGTAAACCAATCCACAGAGTGCAAACTCTAGCCAAAGCAACATGTTGATATGAGAGACAGCTGCAGGGTCCTATGTGATATATGCCCCGGTTGATATTGTCGCGATGAACGTCGTCTTAAGAGGTGGTGACCCGGATTACGTCGCGTTTTTGCCATCCGGTTTCGCAATTCTTCCTGACGGTCGAGGACATAATAATGGAGGAGGAATTCTCGAAATTGGTTCGGGTGGCTCTCTCCTTACCGTTGCCTTCCAGATTTTAGTTGATTCAGTTCCAACTGCAAAGCTTTCCCTCGGATCAGTGGCTACCGTCAATAGCCTAATTAAATGCACAGTTGAAAGGATCAAAGCTGCCGTAATGTGCAATAGTGCTTAATAAACCAAGCATAGATCGAACATAACTTCATCCTTTCTAATATTAGATATGGTAGGAGAACTCACCATTTTGTGAACACTATTAAAATTTGTCTAATTTCTTTCCATTTCATGTGCTATTGTTGAAGCATTAGTTTGGACTCTCCACCAACAAACATTTTGTTAGATTTTGCTTTAATTCCTGTTTTTGGTTCTTTTTTTTAATTTAATGAATAGTTTAGTTGTTGCCTTTGTTTTATGCATTTATTGTTAGATAATGAGATGTTGTTGAGTATGTTGGCTCGCTTAAGAGTTTTGTTAGAAGTTAGTTGATTCAACCTAATGTTATTGTTGATCCATAATTGTTTCATTTGAAAAAGAATGAGTCTCTCTAATTTCTTTGTTATTTGGATTTTTCTATTCTTAACCTATGTCGATTACTCTTTCACATTCGTCATCACCGTCAATAATAGATGTTGTCTTTCTAACATGCTATCAAAATCAACCTAATCTTATTGTTTACTCGTATTGGTTTCATTTGAATAGGAAAACTAGTGTGTCAATTTCCAGGTTATTTGATTTTTTAACCCTAACTCACATTCATCACTCCTTTATATTAGTCGTCAATTACTTTCCACTAGTTACTGTTGATATCGTCTTTTTCAGTTGGTGTTAGAGTTACCAGCAATCTTGGCACCGTCTTCTTAGTCGACGATTGGCTTCCTTCATCATAAGTGTCATTGATGCCATCGATTGCTTCCTCTATCGTTATTGTAACACCTCAAAAAACATCAGTCTAAATTTTTTTGGATATTCGATGATAGAACATTTTTTCACGATAATTATTTGATGTTTTTAAAATTGCAAATATGAAGTTAATTTTATTAAATAAATAAGATTAAAATATATTTTCCTTGAAATTGTTTAAGGATTGAAATATGATAAACGGAAATTTTAGTGGCTAGAATGAAAGAGGAAACTTAAATGCTCAAGTGAAAATAAGAAGAAGAAAAAAGTAAATGACTAATTAACTCATACAACAATTGTTTGAAAAGGTAGAAAAAATTGGATTGATTCAATGATTTCACCAAGACATGTTATTATAATTTAGTTCGAAGTTCCTATTTTCTTCAATTTGGCTCAAAATACTAAACCCTTTTAGGTGGATTTTCTCTCGTAGCTTTGAAATTTTTTATTTTTATTTTTGATAAATTCAGAGTGCATACAAAATAATATACGTTTAAAGACTCTTACCTATTTGACAATAAACATTCATATTCTTAAATATAAGATAGTATCTATAAGATTAAATACCCAAGATAGTGTCATTCTCTTCATCCTAAAAACTTAAAATTTCAAATCTTTATTCTAGAGTTCATCATTCTAACCATCTAAATTCAAAATTAAGTATACATTTGATAAACCCTCATATCACATGGAAACAATAGAAGACGTAAGTGAATTTCAGAAAAAGCACGTGTCTATTTTAAAATCTAAATTTTTTTATATTAGTTGTTTATTTTATTAATGACACACTTTAAAGTTTTATTTTTATCTACTCCATACAAAAAAATTCAGCAATACATAAAAAATCACATTTCAACATGTATCCACGTGATATTATGGACCAAAAGTAGTTGAAATTAATGAATAGATATCCATCTACGTAATAGAACCGGTATTCTGACAAGTAAACCAATTTGATGGCAGCAGTACCATCATTTTGTTGCGTTCATGGAGGTGCTGAATTCCGAGCCTTGTCTTGTTTTTCAGCCATTGCTTCTGTACTTTTATCGCCTCATAAAGCTTGTTCAAATCAAACAAACTATTGGTTCAGCGGCAAGAAATAATGTAAATTTCAAGTCTTAATCGCATCTTTTACATTTAAATACCCCCCAAAAAAAGGTTGTAAAATAATGTACTTATTAAGTTCAAAATATGTACTTAAGAAAGAAAAGCTGCCATTGTTGCTATCAACTGCGATAAAAGCTCAGTTAATATGGTGACGAATAGTTGAGCCGGGCCCAAGAGAAGTGTAGTAGCTAGTGATATATGATGACGGTGGAGCCGATGACTGCCGGCATGGTAATCGATGTAACAAATACAAGCAGATTACTGCAGTCTGCAGCAGCCATTGATACTTTTTGTATAAAGAATGCCGGCATCGCATCAATTTTATCGGAGTCAAAATATTTAGGCTCAAGCCCATAAAAACCCGCCAGTTATTCTTCCCTCTCCACTCCAAAAAAAAAAAAAAAAAAACCTAAGCCTGAAATTAAAACCAAATCCAAACTCGGGTTCAAGTCAAAGTCTCCTCCATTTTCTCCTTTCTTCACACATCTCAATAATCATTTCTCACAAATCCCACTATTTTCATCAAATATTGTATCACTAAAAGTTCGATCAATCATCATTTTCTCAACAACCAGATTTGCTCATATTTAAACCCTCTACACAACAAACAAACTGGAAAAAAAAGTGTTGGTTGCATGATTTTTAGCGATTCCCGGTGATTATCATTTTGGAGATGTGAAAGTTCATCGAGACAAGGAGAATCACATACCCTGAAACTAGCTCGATTGGATGGCGGAAGAGTGAGATCGGAGATGAGAAACATAAAGGTCTAAAGCTAGATCTGCACGCTTTGAAGTATTTTTGGGTAAAACAAACATTAAATCTTTGTTCAAGGCATTGGGACAAATCGATTAATAAAGTTTGGTAGCATTCAGTCGTCATCGATGGTGGACGACGGGCGGTATCGACCATCAGTGTAGACTACAAGGACTAGTTAAATTTCTAGAGAGAGATCAGAGATTAAAACTTTTGAAACTTGTAAATGTTAATTGATAATTTAGAAATGAGCTTTCAAATTTTAAGCAACGAGACAATTTTTTTAAACTTTGAAGTTATTTGATAATCAAATAAATGAAATGCTCTCTTTTAGAACCAGAGTTATAAAATTTTTGACATATTACAAGATTACATTCCACCTGAAGCCAAAACGTGAAATCCTAGATACGGAAAGACCTAAATAGTGTGTAGTAATCTAACATAAATGAACCGATTTGTTCATACATACGCCAAAAGCCATAAAAAGAACAAAAGGAGACCAATATTTTAATGGAGGTCCATAAGAAACAAAACAAGATAAATTCAACAATTCGGTACACATGATTTCAGAAACAAAATTAACCAAATCTCACAACCAATTTGGAGGTTACATAAAGATTTCAAATCCCAAGGGTAAAGGCATTGAATCTGTATTCTTTTGCTGCTTCAATTAGAGAGCCCTTCTAACAGCATCTGCAAATTGAAGCTTTCCATGCAGCCCTGCAGAATATCACAAGGGTACCAAAAAAGAACAAAAACAAAGAAACACAGAACAAAGCAATGCTCCCCATATAACATGTTTAAGATGCCTAGCCGTGTTGACTCATAAAAGAATGTTTAAAATGTTCCTCTGGATGTTTTTGCAGGAAAGAAACAAGGAGAATGCAACAAAATTTAGGCTCCGAGGGAATCTATAACCTCTTTTGCCGCAAGATAATGTGCATGGTACAAGTTCAACTATACACGTACAAGGTTTTGGCATGTAGCCAAGCTACTACATGGACCAGCATTAACATAAAACCTAGAAAAAGCATACCACTAACATGAAACTCAAACCAAGTTATACAAGCTTAGACGCCAATCTACTAAGATTAACTCCGCAATCTTTTTCTTTGAGTATTGTCCTCAGGATTTCCCTGCAAGTAACGAGAAGAAAAATATAAGACAAAATGAACTAGATATATATATTTACATAACTCAGACCGTCAAGGCATCCTCCCAGCAGCATTTAGAAAAGCAAAGAATACGATGATCAAAACATGTCTATAATTGCAGGAAACAAGAAGCCCTACGTGCAATTATAGTCTTGAGGTATAACTCAAGGTAAATTTTTGTATTCCTGAAAACAAATAAGCCAGATAAAATCTTGTCTCACTTCACCCTACCGATCAAGCTCCCACAATGTAATGCTAAAATATATAAACTATAAGTATCCCACCCATGTTCACTTCTAAAAATGATCATTATTCAATTCCACAACAAATCTTCTTTCCAAGATATACACAAAAATCGCATTTCAGCCTGAACATTGAATATAATGAAATAACAGAAATGATATACTAAAAGATAATATTAGCGAAAGGGAAATAAATATGGCAATGCAATTTAGATGTAAAAATAAAAATACATACCCCATCATATCCTACAAAATCTTCAGGAGGAACCACACTAGATTCTGACCTGCATTTAGCATGCACTATGGGACCTAACTGTGATCTATCAATGCCTTCCACTGATCCATTGGGTGCATTCATGTAGACAGCCCCCCTATACATCCACTCCTCTGTTTCATCACTATAAAAATCATCAAAAGGCTCACCACATAAAGCACATATGCTCTGATCTTCATCAGCAGGAACTGCCAATTCTTCATCATCCTTCTTTTCTACAATGTCCTCAGTAGGGAAAAACCCAGGAACTGAATTAGTTCCCAACGCTTCCGCACCACTAAGCCACATACTACCACTCACAAACCACTTCCGGGAAGGTTTCTGCTTCTGGTTCTTAGACATCCGATTTCTTGTCACATGCCAATCCATATGAGTGCTATGCTCCTCTTGGAACTTGAACCGAAGGCCACATGTTGTGCACTGCCTTGGAAGATCAGCATATAAAGAACTTATAGAAGACTCATGTCGCACCTTGAGGAGGTCTGCATCAAACTCAAGGCCCACAGAATCCTACAAAATAAATTGCTTCACTGAGATTCATTTCATTGACAGGAAAAATATACACCACAGAAGAACCTCATCTAAACAAGTACCTGTACGGGAGTTGGATTCGTCAATGAAATCAAACCTTGAGCCATGAGGGAACTAATCAAACCAGTAAATGCACCACCCTGAGGTTGGTTAGGAAGCAGTGGACCTGCATTTTGAGAGGCAGGCATCATTTGAGATGCCGGAGGACGACCACGAGGGAGAGGTGGCATGGCTCCCCCCTGAAAATGTAACGAGCCAGGGGGCATATTTGGGATCGATAAAGGAGGCTGAGCAACAAGCATTGGGTTAGATGGGACCATACTGATAACAGCACCACGCATTTGGGGAGCGTGACCATGATTCAAGGATGGTGCCAATAAGCGAGGAGGTAAAGGTCCAGTTGCAGATGAAAGGAAACCATCACGAACATCACGAGGAAAGTGTGGGTGCAAAGTACCATGCAATGAGTTTCGTTGTTGTTGCAATGCAGAACGTTGTCCAGGAACTTGTGTTGCCGTTATCAAGCTTTGATCTTTGCTTTCAAGACCATCAAACTGTTCAGGCATATATGGATGTTTGTTTTGACCCTGATTCATGACAGGATTGATAGGATTCGGTGAATCAAAATGACTCCTACCATGCTGCTGCAATGAAGAGTTAGAGTGCACAGTCGGTGGCTGAGATTTATGAACATCTACTGGAGGCCAAACCCCAGTTGTCATTGGTAAAATGGTCGGCTGGGCTCCAACAGTAACAGTGTCAAGGCTAGAAGAAGCAGATCTTGGCACAAGAGCAGGAGAGACAATGCTGTCCCCACGTAAGGAGGATATACCACGAGCTGAAAAGGGCATTTGGAAATCCCTTCCTCTTCCTTTGGCATGAAGGGGATGTGATGACTGGGAAAAAGAGTACGAGGAACTCCAAGCATCCTGAGGACAACGCGAATATTGAATCTGATTTAATCCACGACCAGACTGCAAAAAACATATTAAAATGTGTAAATGTAAAATGGAGTATATCAACCGACTGCATAAGTGTCAAATACATAAGAAAGACACCGCAAATCTATAAATTGATAAAAGAAAACAGTGTCTGGAAATCCAGAATGGACTAAACAACAGAAATGGAAAGCATAGAACACCAAACAGGCTGCACCAGGACACAAATCCTCATGATTTTATTTTCGAATCAACTACAAAAAAAAATTAAGTTAGAGGTCGGTGATAGAAAATATCACCTGCGATGAAAACCAGAATATCCACCAGTCTACATAAGTAGAAAAGAGAGGGAGAGGAAGCAAGCTTTTCTGAGTACATATATATCTTGAGTTGTATTAATACTAAACGAGGATGCTTAACAACAAAAGGAACAGATAAAAGTTGAACTAGCATACACTCAGGGAAGAAACTGCATCTTCAGGAATTGCTGAAGAATCATCAACAAGGGTGCGACTGCTCCTACTATTAGATTCTACTCCGGCAGGTCTTGCTCCAATGCTTCCAAAAGCTGGAACAGATGACACTGAAAATTCATTGCTCCTTCGATCTGCTAATGTTGGGCTCATATCTTCCCAATCAAATTCTTCATCTTCAGTATTCTGCCATGATCTTGGAGCCACCTTATTTCCCAATCCATTTACATCCAGCCGCTCAACCTGTACAGGCTTCTTGTTAGACCTTCCTTGTCCTCTATCATTACCATATGCATCTATTAAAGCCCTGAGTGTTTGGCGCTCATTTCCATTACTAAGCTTGTATGCATTCAAAGAACTTTCGGAAGAATTACGGTAATCTCCATACATGTGCTTCTTCTGCCACTCTCTTGTTTCATCATCTCTGATGGTTCCTCTTCTACATCCAAAATCAAAGCCAGGCCGAGATGGAGATGCTATCTCAGCAAACCTTCTAGGAGAATCATCTGATGGCAGATCATCAACTTCTGATGATATAAGTCTATCAGATCCAGTCGTCGATGATGAGAAGGGTCTTGAAACTCTGGAAGCTGAAGAAAGTTGTGGCTTGTTAGCGCCTATTGCAACAGAAGTACGCCCAACATTTCCAGTTGAGCTCAATCTTTGCACACCAATATGTGAGGATGGAACCTCGGTATGATCAGAATCAAATTCATCGTATCCAATGTTATGTTTTTGACCATACAATTTTTGACTGGAAGACATGCCTCTTACATGCTGAGTATTCTGCGATGATTGAGAACATCACACTTCAGATGCTATTCTGTACAAAGCAAGCACATAAAAATGCATGTACAGTGACAGGACAAACATATTTCCAAAAAGATTTCCCAACATGCTTATCAGTCAAAGCTAACAATCCTAATCAATAGCAAAAAAGCATATAATTCGTGTCAAAAGAAAGATATTTTAAACAAAATTTAACAAGGAAAAGAAGCACAATGCTCAACACAAAGTTGGAAAGGAACAGGAAGGGAAAAGGAAAATTTAATCACCAAAACCATATAAGCACAATGGAAAAGACAATAAACCTTTCCCACCGCATTCCCTCAAAATAAGAATAATAAGTTAATGGCCCAGTTGTTCCAATAGATCTAGATTTTAGATTTGCAAGTTTCTTAAAGTAATTGGACTTATAGATTGCTTGCTCTTCATCTCCATTGTTCTCTTGAAGTTCTAGAACTAAAAAACCTGATATCATGCTACTTACCAACACTGATAATAAAAGGTGTATTTTCACTTGCTGAAGGCATATGTCAAGACTCTCATCTCATAACGATGTTCCAACTAATTCTCAGCAAATAACTTAACAGAAAGAAATTTTAATATATCGATTTCCCTTAACATCCCCGCAACTCTAACCCTCATTCCAGCAGATCCCCAGTGATCAAAATATAATTCATCTTTTACCACTTTCCTTAAGTACCAAAAGCAGTTCTGTCAAGAAGGATCTATAACTGCAAGAAGCATCTAATTCAAAGAAATTTTCAAAAGAAAACATGATTTGCAGTAATATCCTAAATAGTGCATGTGCATACAACTACAGAATAGAGCAATGTGTAAGAATCTAGTCATCTACTAATAAAACAGAGGATAAAAAGAATGGAGTTTTTCATCGCTTACACTATCTGCACCTGACTGTTGTTCCAACTGCCGCAAGTACTTAGGATTAACATGTATGCCATGTGTTGGACGAGGCGATTCGGAAGTCTGCAGGGAAGTTACAGTAGACGATTTTTGGCCTGCCAGTTGAGAAAATTGTAACTGCGTCTCGATTTCACGGAGGACAGAAGGCGGAAACACTGTACACCACGTGCCAAATAAATGACGCATTGCAGGATGCATGTTAGGATTAACTTGCCTGTATGCCTCACAAAATACCTAAGAAAATGAAAACCGAAATAACTAACTAAACATATACTCGACATCAAACTAATGGTAAAGAAATGAACTTTATAAAAAATATTGCCATTGACTCACCTCTGGCAAACGGGAAGAGAAATACCTAACATATTCTCGGCCAATGTTTTTCACAATGCTATCTAATAGATATAAAGAAGGAAGTTTCTGCTCTACTGGAACCTGAAAGCAATAAACTTGAAAATAATTTTTAAATGTCCAAATCACTAAGCAGCTACAACGTAAAACCTAATTTTAACTAACCTCAATAATTCGGGCGCAAATAGCATCGGCAATGCCTTCGCCGTGCTCTCGCTGTTCACCAGCAATGATCGTGAGATCAGTAATTATCGGCTTTGAATTAAAAGTAAGTTCCGATAACACAATCTCGTAAAGCTGAACAATCTCCTCCGTAGTCAGCGTTGCCCCTAAATCGTCATCAGCAACACATCCGGAAACCCTGAGTTCATCTTCCCGTTGCTTCAATAAAGCCTTGAACCGTTCCGATATTGACGGCAGTTGCTTTTGCGCTAGTTCATTGGATATGGCCATGCCGTTTTTGCTACTGTTGTTATTGGTTTAGAGGGAAATGATGAGAAAATTCTAGGGTTTTCTTCGGGAAAGTACGATTTTCTCCGATTCCACACATGCATCAGAGAAAAGATTAGCCGGAATGGCGAAGGGATCAGGAGTTGCGGCACATCGTGAATCGATGAGGATTAAATTAGGGTTTTTGTTGCCAGCATCGAACGAGAAACGGATGCTGTTTTAGGGTGTTACAAATATGAGTCTGGTACTTCTCGTTTTCCTATTCTTTTACTTTTTCTTTTCCTGAGATGAGAGAAGATAATAATATTAATTATTATTATGTAAGAAAAAAAACATCTCTAGATTTGGTTTAATCCACGGTTGAAACAAAAGGAAGTTTCTGGGGAAAAATATGGGGTCCACAAGATATCCTGTGACGTGGAGGTTATTAATTGGCATACAACTGATTTTTTGTGGAGCATGGGTACAGAGAATAATCATAAATCAAAGGGCCCAGAAAACTTGTAATAAGATTACGTAGAAATTAGTTTATAAGTTGACATTTGATAATAAAATTTTTCATAATACTTAGACCGATATAGAATTTTACGTACAAGAGTATGAATTTAAAAATTATAAAATTTATTAAAATAATAATCGAAAATTTTGGGAGAATGATATAGACATTAGGATGAAATGGATAATTTTTTTTATGATCTTGATTTTTTATTTATTTTATTGGTCTGAAATGATTATAAGATAATATCTTATTTAATTTTTTTTAAACAATTCACAACACGTTCAAAACAACATAGTGTTGTGAAACCCGAAACACAAAATGAAAATGAGGATACAACAAAAGTGTTTAATTTGTTTGAGTGCACCCGAGAAAAATGCAAGACCAATACTGCATATCCAATTGAGAGGGTTGCTGCGAATGGGACAGTAAACCATAAGAGCACCATTATCCGATTGAGAGAATTGGTTCAAGTGTGCCCATGGAGGATGCACCATTACCTTGATCGTATCGAACTGCATAGCACAGCGAAGGGAAAATCAACTGCAAACATCACATCATATCCAACTCCTCAAGCAGAAAGGCAACTACGTCCAGCCCATGGTCACGACCCCTTCTAAATCACTCGTGTATGGTAAGAACACCACCAGTAAACTGACATACCAGAGCCATAAAACAACAAATTATAACCCTATACATGTCAAAACAGTTCAAGTTACAGTGCTGCAAATGAAAACCATGACAACATCGAGCATTATTAATGAGAAATTTGTGGTTGCGATGATCATATAAGATTAACCCCTCCTTCTAATTTGAGTAGAGAATCACAGTTAATGATTCGTGAGATGAAGAAAATGATGAAGAGTAAAATAAACTAAATGAACCATCGGAAAGAGAGAGAGATTAGAATCATCAAACATAACATTGTCGAGCAAAAAGCGAGCCCCATCTATGTCGCGAAGCAAATATGGCAATCGTGGAGGACGTGGAGTATGCAAGAACTTAAGGAGGGAGGGCAGCTGAAGGGCAACCCTAAACCAAATATGGAAATCATCAAACTCATTTTCTCCTGATAATCAGGAGAAATCAATGATCATCGTGTGAATCAACCAGACTCACTGTTGCACGGCTTGCAACATGTCCAAAATTATTCACTTAAATGTTAAACAGTGATCCTGTAATGCTTCTGTCTCATCAAATGCTCTAAGAAAATATACTTTAGAGGGGGAAAAACTATTTTCACCTACTATAAATATAACTGGATTGTTTAATAGTGACAACCATCGAAAGAATGTCATACGGTCATAACATTAATGTTTCGAGCATTATTTAGTGATGAAGAAGATGAATAGTGTTGAAATATATTCACCTGTCACATTAACTTTTTTCGACGACAGTAACAGCAAGTAAAGTGATTTAAAAATTTAGTGATGGTGTTATACGTTAAATTATTTAAATTATTAAATCTCCTTCATTTAATTTCATTAATTTATTTTTAAAATTATCATGATGATAATTAATAAAAGAAACTTGCAAGTTTCTCTTTTCTTCTCTTAGAGTCTCTCTTTCCCTCTCCTCTAGGTAAGATTAAGATTAAATTTAGAATTTATCAAAAAAAAGTGTTAATAAAGAACACATCAAACGACCTAAATGGTTAAATGGAGTGTTCCTTAGTGTTATTCTCTCGTGAATAGTAACAGAATAAAAAACTTATTTCTTATTTTTTGGATATAAAATAATCAAATATTAATATTAATTATTATGAGTAAATAAAATAAATATAAATGTTTTTAAGTATATTTTACAAGAATAATATTAACTTTAATAAATGATCTTATAAATAAACTAATAAACGAGGTTGTTTGTGAACATAAACAAACCAAACGCATATTTCTTTTTAAACCTGTTCATTTAATTAAGCAAACATAAAATTTATGTGAGTAAAACTATCTAATTCTGACTCTTAAATGGTTTGAAAAGTAATTAATCATTCAATTGTAATGTAATTTCATTTTTTAATAATTATTTTTTAATAGAAACAACTAATTTTATTAAAAATAGAAAATATCCCTATCAAAATAAAAATTTACAGTCACTCGTAAACTAAACACATAATAATCATATTTTCCTATAATCAATAACACAAGAAACTAGCCACTTAAGATCACACAATGCCTATACAAGAAAAAAAGTTACAAAACCTAACCAAATAAACTTTAGCAAGAGATAGATACGAACAAATCTGAACGCATTAATAAATGAACCATAAAATGAGATCAAGCTATTAAAAGATAATTGACAAACCACAAATCAAAGTCGATTGACGTGAAAAAATTATTTACGAACGTAAACCGCATATCCAAATCTAGTCAGTTAGTCTAAAGAAAGGAATATCAATATAAAAACAAATAAACATCATCTTAATAAATCATGACGATATCAAATCAACTCTAATAAAATAAATAAATGAAAACAACAACCAAACGATTGTAAATGAATCATAAAGACATAAAAAAACATGTCATAAATACATAGTTATTAAAAATTAAAAAATAATTATTTGTCATAATAAAATAAAAATAATAATAAATATCGACGATTGGCGATCATCGTAGATCACAAAGATAAAAAAACAATGGTCAAGGAAAAATAGCAAAACTAAAACTTTTTAATAATTATTATATAATGTCCGAAAATAAAAATTATTTCAAATATCATATTAATTTTTTTAATAATATGTGACAATTGTAAGAGTAGTATTAATTCAAATAGTATTAATTCAAAATCTCTTTTAACTATTTACAATACACACGAACTTATAAATACAATTATATGAATTCATAACTTCAAAAAATAATAACAAATTTTAACAAGACCTCCTCTTCTTATAAAAAAAATAAGAGAAAATAATTTCAGTGACAAAAAATGATTTATAATATACGATTTTAACCAACTTTTTTTGGATTTGCCAAAATGACCAACTAAATCGCAATGCGATCGATAATTCGCAACGCGATCTCCGGTATCGCAAATCAGTTTCCAGATTCGCAACGCGATTCTGACTATCGCATTGCGATTTTCCTAATTCGCAATGCGAATACGTAAATCGCAATGCGAATATGTAAATCGCAATGCGAATACGTAAATCACAATGCGAATACGTAAATCGCAATGCGAATACTGCTAAACTGTTTAGTCTTTAACCCTGTGAAGTTAGTATTTGTCTTTGTTTTGTCTTTTGGTTGAAGTGATGCAATCCATTCAAGTTTCTTTCAATTTTAGTATTTGAAACCGAGAATGACTATCGCAATGTGATTCTGTCGTTGCGATTTTCATTTCGCGTTGCGATTCTTGCATTGCGATAGTCAAATTCGCGTTGCGATAGTCATTTTCGTGTTGCGATTTTCATTTTCGTGTTGCGATTTTAAATTTCAGAAACTATTCTTCTTCTGCAAATTAAAACTTGAATGAATTGCATTACTTCAACAAAAAAACAAAGACAAATACTAAATTCACAGTGTTACAAATTTAAGTTTGAAGAATAAACTACTACTCTTTATGTTTATTGTTCTTGTTATATCTTCACAGTGTAGTTTTTGGTATATCTAACTTGGTATGTTTATTGTTTTTGCAGAACTTTTATTCGGCTCAACTGACCTTAAGAAATAAAGTAAGCCTGGCCAAACAATTGCATCGAAGCTTTCACCTGCACAAAGAAAAATATTTAAGGATACTTGCTTCGGGCCATGGCTGAAAGTACAACATCCGGGTGGAGATGCTATGTTGACCCATCTGTTTCTTCAAACCATGACTAGCGATCTACCAGAGACAACGTCGTGATGAAGAGATATGGTTTGATTTTCCACCGGCGTATACGTGTTTTGGGTGGGAGGAGTTTTGCTTAATCACCGGTCTACGCTTCAGACACGATGATGTAGATCGGTACACTAGACATATTACCCACCTATCATGGTTTTCCCGGGTTTTTCCTGAGCTGTCAACGGAGAAGCCGAATTTACACGTGGAAGACTTGACGAGATTATTGAATAAGATGGTTTTACTCGGATGGATGACGTCGATGTTGTCCGAGTATGCCTTTTAATACTTTTGCAAGCCGGCTTTTTAGGCAGAGAGGCCCGACAACCTATTCCTAATGATCTAATTAAATTGTTAGAGGACCTAAATGCATGAAACCTATTTCCGTGGGGTTCGTATCTATGGAAAGCTACATGGAATAAGTTGTCGTCTGCCTTTGATGATAGAAAAAGTTTGCGTGGCGATGGTTCCAAATACACTTTGTCAGGCTTTATTTGGGCCTTTAAGGTAATAATTTTTATATAATGTTTCCAAAATTATAATTAATTCTTTAACAATTACTAATGTTTGTTATTATATTGTTTGTAGATTTGGATATTTGAGGCCTTTCCCACCATGCAGACATATGCATTAAAAACTTCTAATGATATTCCTAGGGCTATTTCCTGGAAGAGGAAACGGTCCTTGCAGCAATGGGAAGATTTACTACCGTATACTACAATAAATAATGTATGTTAACACAAATACTACCATATGTTTATAAACAAGTTATTACTAGTACACGTTTAACTTTGTTTGAGCTTTTATATTGTTAGGAGGCCAACACTCCATTACAGAGGCTGACACCCACGGAAGCTGAGCTTACCACTGATTGGTGGCAAGCTAGTAAGCGTTTTTTTGATAGCACGGATGATGAGCAGCCACCACTTCGAGAGCCATCACCTGATCGACCCGAATAT